AAAAATAAGAAAAAGGAAAGGAAAAGGAGAGGGAATAGAGCAGCAATTTTCCAAACAAGATTATTCTCTGTAAGACTTACATCATTGCAGGCTGAATTTGTTAAAGCTGTGACCAAAAATTGTGAATATGGAAAATGTCCTCTGTCTTAGTTCTCTGTGTTTGAAGGGGGTGTTGGCTTTTAAAAGATGGGTAAACATGAAGAGACTGAACAAGATGCATACACAGGAGAATGCTGTGGAATATTTGGAAAATTATACCAGCACACAGGGGAATTACATTGAACCTGCAGGATATAAAGGAATTCTGCATTCTATGGTACTTCCTGTGGAGGGTGATCTCACATCACTTAAAAAAATCCCTTAAAAAATCACTTAAAAATTATTTTTTTCTACTCATTGCCATGTTTGCAACCATATAAATAAAGCAATATAAAAATGTGATGTCCCAGATACCACCTACTGCTCTGTGATGAAAATACCAATTCAGTGTATTGCAAGTCTTATACCTAAACATTTAATATCTACCCTGAAAGTATGCCATTTTATAGCATGTGCTGCACTTTTTGCCAGTATGCATTAATCCTTTTAGATCCAAGACATGTAGTACATAAATTAATACAAAAAATGAAGTCAGTCCTGGAAGTGATGGAAGATAAATGCCACTGCTGGCTTCTATTGTAAGTGATGCATTATATCTTTAGGCAGCAATAAAGGTAATGATTTCAGAACCCTATAATGAGACTGCTAGAGTTATGTTCACAAAAATTATTCTCATCTTAACATTCCAAGCAAAAAACTATCATTATCAAAGCTGCAATGTTATAACTTTATGAAGAACTGCCATGGGTAGAAAATACATGAAAGCAATGTCCCTTGTTTACTACTTTATAGTAGTTACCCAAGTGCTCTAAAAATCTATTCTGGAGAAAAAGAATTTAACACTTATTGTATAATCTTTTTGTAGAAATAAATATTTTATTTTGAAACTTTTTTACTTTGATTTTTTAGAAAACAATGAAATTAAGAGATCAAATGTTAAAATATGTCAACATTTAAAAAATAACATTTCAGATTCAATTTCAAATATGAATTTTTACCTAGGAATTTATTATTAAATGAAAATTGTGACTTTAAAATTGTTTTTTTACAGAAATTTTAAAAATGTGGTATTTAAGAAGAAAACATTTTATTGAGATTCTATTTCTTGAACAGTTTCCTCCTATATATTGGCAGAATTCTGTTCTGCTAATCAAGACAACTTATTTACCCTTACATATATGTTTATCTGGACAATTCTTTCACATGGAGTGGTTCATAGATGAGCTAATTGTATAATTACAAGTTTTAGGTTTGTAAATGCCATTTTTAAAACTACTTTCACAGCTTGGCATTTTAAACTCTCTGATAAGGGGCTCCAAAGAGATGTACACACCTCTCTCTTTACTTTCCTTAAGTCCCAAAGTCTCCAAAGCTGCTTTTGAGCTGCTACTCAGACCTACAATTACATAAATCTTGGTGTTTAATCTTCTGCATGTCAACATTTGCAGAAACACTTTTGTGCTGAAACTCCTCTGCAGAATGATATCTCAGAGTCATGGGTTAAGCCAAAGCTTAAGAGTATTCAAAATGATTTCTTGAATACCTGGAAAAAGAATTTTGTGATACTGTGATCTGATCATGATCTTAACTTAGGAGCATTGTTTGACATTGATTAGTAGTGCTACTTGGTTAAGGTAAAAAGAGGAAATCCAGGTACACGTGGAAGAATAACGGGACATCCACAACAAGTGTCTCTCAGGACACATGTAAGTTAAAAGTAAACGCAAAAGAGGTGTGTAGCAAGAGGAAAAGAACAGTCAGATGGTTTCTGACTGTACTATACTAGCTCTTTGGCTAGTATAGCCATGGATCCTGCCATTAAATGGCAGATCAGGACAGCTCCAAAAGTGTTCATTACATGAAATAGCTTTCTAAAACCAACTCAGGTGTGTACTTGATATTGAGCTATTCAGGTACTAAAATCAAAGTTGTCCCAGTTGAAAAGTCTAACAGCTATGGAAAAGTATTCATTTAGCAGACAGCTAGCTTCTGAAGATACTGGTACCAAAGATCCATTTGTCCCTGCTTCTCCTTTGCACTGCCACCTGAAAAGCTCTGTCAATACTGGTTCATCTGACCTTTCTTTTGTCTTTAACCCATAAAACCAATTTAAGCAAGAGTACTTTAAACTGAAGTTTTGGATGATTTTTGTATTTTTTCTGAAGTAGAGCTAGTGAGCATTTCATCATCAGGAAGAGAACTTGTTCCAGAAAGGTACCAAGAATCTTCTTTCAATGGTAATATTTCAGATTTTCCCATTTTATACTTGTCAGCACTGCAGGCAGAGGCCAGCATTAGCCTAGTTATACTGTTTCTGATGTATAGATTACTTCAGTTATTGCTGCACATCACTGCAGAGCTAATAGAATCTTGAATGACACAGAATTTTCTCAAATGTTTATCATATATTTCATAGTAAATATAGTGCAGAATTTATTTCTAATTTTTACCTTTGAGAGAATAGCTTTTATATTGCAACAGATACGTATCTGATGGCTCAGTTTCCATTTTGCATTTGTATATAAATTTAACTATGTATTAGAAGAATAATTTAAGCACATCTATGTATGCAACAATAATTTATATATATATCAGTTTAAATATATATGGTTTTTAGAAATAGTTTGTGGTAACACAAGAAAAAATCCCTCATGAATTTGTCTTCAGTCTGAGACCTTCCTAAGTCCACTGCCATTATGACTAGGCTTATTGACTCCCTGCATGATTTCTCCTATTCTCTTGTCTCTTCTGAACCTTAAATATACACTTTTAAATATATATTTGTTTCAAGATGAATAGAAACTTGAACATGCCTCATCATCTACAGCAAGCAAAGATGCTTTACAGTGCAGCTGCGCACGTTACAGACGTGTGAGTGCATGCACACACACACCATGGGAAGGCAGAGCTTGTGCTGTGTTTGATGCAGTGGGCACAGCAGTACAGTAAAACAGCCTCACTTTTGCAGTTTGCATTCCTTCAGTGGTTTGTTGGCATAGTTTATGACAGCTATTTATATTCATTTCAAGCCTGGGGGAAGAACAAAGCTTGAAAGATGGTTGCTGGTAAGTTTTCATTCCTTAAAAAAAATGTAAGTAAAATGGAACATATTACTTTTTTTCTCCCTAGTGGTCTGATAATTACATTTAATCATTCATTTTGCATTGAAAATACATCACACGCATTTGAAAATAACTTATGATGAGAAAAAATATAAAATAATTTTCTCTCCTTTGAATATATTTAGGTGTAAAAATAACAAACATTATGGTTACAAGATATTTATTATTTTAGGAGAAATTTATTACAGTAGTAACAGAGTTAAAATCAGAAGTTAAGGTAAAAGCAAGGCATGCATGTGAACTTACAAGCCATAGAAAACATAATGTAAATGGTGATGAAATAGCAAAGAAAATATGAAGACTAAAAGGTTTCCATAGCAATGCACTATTATTAATTTCTCTTGAAGCAGAAAAATTCTCTAGAATGATAACACTCCAGCAAAAATGGATGCACATATATTAAAATGGTTTCATTCTCTAAATTTCTTTCATTATTTCATTTTATAAGACTTCAGACCTATTAATGAAGCGTGAGACAATGCTCTACAGTATAGTGGCTTGGCACATACGGAAAATAAAACAGCATCAGTACTAAAATAGAACACATTAATAAAGATGAAGAAGGGGTGAAACAACCTGCAGGACTCAAGCTTTGTTAATGAAATGCAGAAACCATTATTTTGCTTTATTACATTTTTTTTCTACTAACTGCAAGAAGAATGGAGATGAAATTCAGATTTACCTCTACACATTCTATATTTCACATTTAGCTGAGGGTCTACAAAGTCTTGATGATATAAATACCAAGGTTAGTGTTTTAAATAACATTAGTGTATAACTGGTATGTTCCAAACTATTATGATGGTGTAGGGTAGCCAGATCACAGTTACATCTTCCTCATTGGTGCTGCTTTTCTTCCTTCCCCATGTCCTTCACATCCAATGTGGCAGGAATGATATGGAGAAACTGTCTTCCTATCTATCTCAACAATGAAATAGAATTAATTGCCATTCCATAGCACAAAAGATCCCCAAATAAAATCTTTCAATATGAAAATGTAGATGCTGATGATTATTTTTTATTGTTAATAACAACACATATTGTCATTTTGGTCAAATAGAAAAATACTTGACTTCTGTATCCTGATTTTAGTATTAATTTTTCCCCAGTGAAATGTTTCTTTTTAGCATTGTTTTAACAAATACATTAGGCAAACTCGCTGGCCTACAACTGCCATCCACCATCATTTTAAAGAAGCAAACCACCTTAAAAAAGGAAGACCAAATTCTATTCTTAAGTACCTCACTGCCATGTTTGCTCTTCTGAGAGAATAATTACTCTCTGCAAGATATTCAGTCTAAAATTAATTCAAATTTTGCATCCATTTAATTTCATTCTTTAGCCTGTGAATGTTTTGTGTTCATATAATGAATTTGTCAGATGTGGCAATTTGAGAGAACTGGTCTCACTAAAATTAGCGTGAGATTAACTTTTAATATTCATACAAGACTGTGATCCAAAATTTCCAATCAGCCAAAACATAAATATTGATACATGGTTAGTACTGAGTTTGTATTGTACCAAAGTAATAGGTCAAGTACAATTCTTACCTGTCTATTGTCTCAGCTTAGTCTAGTGCTCAGCATTTTCAAACCTCTTTTAAAATAGATATCTTTGCTATTGTGTATGACATGGTCATTGTCTGGGAATTTTTTTGATTTGATTGTGGTACCTTAAAAAAATGTTTATCTTAGGTCCTGGGTCCCTAGAGCCTACTACATTTTTAGTGATGCCTCACAAGGAAAAGAAAGAAAACAAAAAATGTTGGGTTGATATCATCTCTCTTATGATCTCTAACAGTTAACAAGTCATACAAAGAAAACCATCTCTGGAGGTCATGTCTAAAAAAAATGTTTTGCAATATTTTATTCATCTGTGACATACATTTTGGAGAGTCAAGGAATGTTCTGCAAATTGGTAAATTATCAAGAACAGCTGTCGCTTTCTTTATATAAATGCACATGAGTATTTGCAAAGCAATTCACTAATGGAGTAATACATTTCTCAGTGTAAATATGATTTAGTAAACAAATGAGCAAAATTGCTTCCTTTGATAATGACATCAAAATTGGCATTTTTGCAAATTAAAACTGGTAAAGAAAAGAGATCTGCTCAATGCTGTTACCTTTTTAATCCTACTCACAGCTCAGAAGCACTGATTCTTTTTAATAGAGTATAAAAATTTCCAAATTAAATGGATTCATGTCTATGTGGAAAGAAGGACATAATAGACAAAATTATGTATATAGTTCCTTCAGTGTCATGTCAATCTCATAGAGAAGTTCACTCCAGAGGTATACAATGATTTCACAGGCAATCAATCCAGATTTACAGTGATGTTGCAGAGTAGAAATACGTTTTTAGAATACTAAAGCAAACTCCAATAAATTAATTCTATGATTCTATTGAAATGAATGTGTTTGGATAGACAAAAGATCAAAGAACAATTGTGTCAGAAATTATTTAAAATATATCTAATGTAAGACTGGGTATACATTTTAACCAAGGGGTGCTTATTTCAGCATGTGACTAATTTTGTTTTTTCAATTTTTATTCATCAGTATGTTTTCCTTCCCTGCCTTGCCTTTAGCATTCAATGAAATTGGAGTGAGAACTGAACTTTGTGCTCCATGAAATGCAGAGAAAAACGTTTGTGTCTGGTTGCACCTCTTGTTTTTTGGTAACCTGAGTATCTGGGGCCATGAAAACAACTGAGTCCTCAGTTCTGGTAATACGAATTGGCCACTATTACCGGTGTTCTGACTCCTCTGATTTCCTGTATCTGCAGACTCCAAGAATGGTTTTCCCTTTGTTTTGTTATTGTTAACAGCTCACTCTCATGATGTGGGAATTACTTCACCCACAAGGATGATGTCTCTTAGCTGTGTGTTGTGGAAGATTTTATTCTGATCTGAAAGGTCAAAATATTCTGCTGAAGCTTGATGACAGTTTGACAATAACTTGGTAATATCCACCTGTGCTGTTCTGCACTCCCATGAAAATATTTACCCTCTGTGACTGGACCCAGCTCTGAAAAATTTTGTTCCAGTTATGGTCCATGTTTTTTTTCTGTGCTCATCACGTTCTGAAGTATCTATTCTGGTACAATTTATAGTATATATTCTCTCTGTGTCACCCAAACTTTAACATAATTGTCAAATTTCAGAAATGTGTTTGCGACTTGGTGTACTAACATAAGAGAGATAACAAAAGAATTGTAGGGGCAAATATTGCTCTGTTATTCCTTCTGAGTTTGATCTGGACCTAAAAATGCTACAATCAGCTGGAGAATTTGGCACCATAAAAGCAATGTGTCTTGTGAAATTTTGATTTTGTAACCCTTTTTTGAGCTCTAATTTCTCATATATTCAAACAGTAACAAAAATATATCAAAAAGAAAGATTCTTAACCAGGCTTTTAAGAAATATTATTCTTGGTAATTACCACAGGCAGTCTTTTATTAAGCATAAAAATATATAAAATAGACATAAATAGATATAAAATATTTAATGGAAAATAATCTTCAAATATTTTCTAAAAAATTTAGATGATTCATTTCCTAGAAAAAAAAAAAATGTATCCTTCTCTTAATTCACAATAAAATGCATTTAGAGTCATATAATAATTAAGGCTGGAAGACATCTCCAAGGTCACCAAGCACAACTTTTGACCAAAAACCACCATGTGAAACTAAAACACAGTGCTAAATTCTATATCCAGTCATTCCCTAAATTTTCCAGGGATGGTAACTCCACCACTTCCCTGGGCACCCCTGGTCCAATGCTTAACTACTCCTTCAGCAAATAAATTTTTCATTATGTCCAGTCTGAACTTCCTCAGCACAGTTTAAGGCTGTTTCTTCTTGTCCTATTGCTAGCTGCCTGGGAGAAGAGACCAGCCTGCATCTTGCTACAACCTGCTTTCAGGCAGTAGTGAACAGGGATGAAGTCTCCCCTGAGCATCCTCTTATCCAGGCTAAATAACCCCAGCTCCCTCAGCTGTTCCTCCTTTTCTCTAGACCTTTCACCAACTCCATTGCTCAGAACTGGGCAGAGGATTCGAGGTGTGGCCTCACCAGTGCCAAGTGCAGAGGGAAAATCACTGCCCTGATTCTGCTGGTCACACCATTGCTGATACAGGCCAGGATGCTGCTGACATTCTTGGGCACCTGGGCACACACTGGATCATGTCCAGCTGCTTTTAACCAGCACTCCCAGGTCCTTTCCCACCAGGCAGCTTTCTAGCCACTTTTCCCAGTAGTGCTGCCTGGGATTGCGGTGAGCCCAGTGCAGGACCTGGCACGTGGCCCTGTTGAACCCCATGCAATTGGCCTCAGCCCATCAATCCAGCCTGTAGAGATCCCTCTGCAGAGCCTTCCTACCCTCCAGCAGACCAACACTCCCACCCAATTCAGGGCTGTCTGCGAACTCGTTGAGGCTGCACTGGATTCCCTCATGCAGAACATTGATCGAGATGTTAAATATCACTGGCCCCAAAAGCCTTGACATGTCACCATGACATGTTTTTTGAAAGAGAATATTTAGATGTAACATATGCATTATGAAGTGGACAGCAGACGAAACTTCATAAATAACCATTACATTTACCCTATATTTTTTGTTTCAGCTCTAGAGAACCAGATTTCAGAGATTCAACATGAACAAAAATGAATTGCAACTGTCACATCTGCAATAAAATAGAAAGATATGGTTCAGAGATTTTTGATGGGTCACTAGTTTTTACTTCTATGAACAATCTGCCTGTGGTATTTTCTGTCATTTTCCATGTTTTCCTTACTGTATAACTCAAGAGACTCAAGAATTAGCTATCCATCTGTTTCAGAGGCATTACTTCTATTTCTTTGCAAATAAAAAAAAAAAAAAAGGGTCAGGACTGACTGCCTTCAAATCAGGTTTTTTTCAATACATTCAATTTACAGGGTAAAAATATTTGTAAGCAATTTCAAAGGCATATGCCTACCTGGAGACCTGTGGAATTTTGTAGTTTGGAGACCTATAGATCTAAACTTAATGAACATGTTGCTGAATAAGTAGGGATAAATAAACACATTATTACAACATTTAGAATAGCTAAAAATCCTTTGAACTTCACTTACATGCAAATTCACCATGACACGCATTTAAAAAGATAATTTAGATTATGAACTGTATAGCAGATGACACACCATAAATCAGCAACTGTCATTTGACAATAGAAGTTTTATACACTCACAAATGATGTACATTATTCTTGTACTTATTCCCTTTTTCTGCAATATATTTTTATAAGGTTATAATATGCAAAAGTTTTCAGACTGCTTGCTAAACAATTCTGTATTCTTCACTTTATATAATATTAATTATTATATTAATACCATGGTCTCCACATGTACAAAAAGAAAACTTGAAATTAACATCCAAAGATAAATTTATGCAGTCCATAAGAATACTTTTATTCAACTACTAAAGCCACTATTAATGTTGGTAGAGTCCAGAATAACGTTCTTTAAAAGCCATATAAAAAGGATTAAATCACTGGAATGCAGAAAATTGGGCATTAAATCTAAAATGTCACTCCTCAGTGAGCCTGCTGTGCTTAGGTTTTCAATTGACCTAAGAAGCTCAAAATATACAGGAATGAGTTTTCATTCACTCAAATTAGAAAAAGAAATAGTGCAAACCTTCGGAATACTGACACAAAAGGGGAAATAAAAGACCCTAAAACTAAACCACTAGTATTATTAGACCGTATTTCTCCTTTCCCTTCTGTGTTCATGTTGCATAACCAGTGTACCTGAGAAGAAAGGCGTGGTATACTCAGTAGAGACAGCTGAAGATGTGACTCTTCCATTATGTGTTCACTCTGATCCTCTGTGGAAATTTCTGCCTGTTTAACAAAAGTGAGAAAACAAGGAATGGGTCTGATTTTCAGCAGCCATATTTTGCAGACTAATATCTCAGCACAAATGCTGATGAGAGCAGTTGATATAGTCCAGATGATCATAATCTGTATCTCTATGTGTGGGGACCCTGGAACAGAGGATCAGCTGTACAGGCAATATGTAGATAGCTCTCCAGAAAAGGAACAGGCCAACTGTATCAATCCTACTCCCACTAACTGTTCTAGATGTAGCAGTGGCCATAGTCCAATTTACGTATTTTTTCTTTTATAAAACTTATATCTATAAGAAAATATTTTAAAATATCTAATTGCCCACCAAGCACATTCCCTGCACATGGTAGATCCAAGCCCCTGACCAGTCTTCAGGGCAGCACTGCCTAGTCACTGGTTCAGGACCAACCATATGGTTTCACTGCATCTCCTCCTGACTCCTGAGCCCAGGGCCACTTGCACAGCCCTTGTCCCACTGCAGAAATGATGAGATTCCATATGAGCCAACACATTCCATGGCAACCACACCCTAACTGTCCAGAAAGGCTTATGACATGCAATAATTCTATTCATCACTTCTGAAGCATTCTTCTTGCTTGGATTCTTTTGAATGTTTTGCCACTCCATCTTAGTCACCATGCTAGAATTAGGCAGACAATGTCCCCCCAATAGGAATCAAACCCCTCAACACCATAAAGTCCCCCTAGTAAACACTGTGTAGCATCATAAAGAACCAGACCTAACCTTCTGAATGCTTTTGACACTTCCTAAGTTATATAAGAATCCATACATTTTAAGGCATGTATGAAAAAGGTTGCTTTTAAAATTGTAAAAATCAATATGCTAAAATATATATTTGTACTGTGATAAACTCGTGAAGTCAAAAAAAAACAAACCCTGTATCTGTCTGATTAGTTACAATGTGGCAAAAACCCCTCACATATAGAAACTGTAGTAACTGCAGAGTGAAAAAAAAAAAAATAGAAAGAAAAAAACATCCTCTGTGTAGGTAGTACTATTTGACATCTTTGAGATGTATTTGGGAATACTTTTTATGGTAGTAATTGAGGGAATTGATACTTGTTTATTAATGCAAAAATAATAAAAAATAAAAATAATGTATTAATTATCAAATACAAATATATTTTGTCTTTATAATGAATTAGTTCAGATCCCCAAAGTTCAATCAGTCTTCCCTCTCTTTGACTGTTTTGTTAGTAAGTCTGTGGCTAGTGTGAGACACTAGGATATGTTTCTATCACACCAGTGCCCTCAAACATCAACAATTTCTGCGGAAACATCTATGGGTCTCTAAAGTTTTCACCCTCCTATTTTCCTTGCCCTTTCTGTAGCTGTGGGACCTATACAAGAAACTGAACTTTGTTAAGTGGTCTAATACAATTATTCTAAAAATGACAGCAGTAGGGACTAAAGTGCTTTGATGTTTGCCAACTAACCTGAAGTGTCTCTTGACACAAACCAAAGGTTAAGGCAGATAGAAAAGAAAAAAATATATTTGCATAATTTAAATGCAAACATCTCATTTACTGTTTTGGAAAGTGACAAAAAAAAATCTACGACTTTGATATGCACATTTTGCCTTTGATATGAACAAGTCTCATATTAAATTCCTGAAGCAGAAAGCGCTATTACAGCAATTTAGAATATGTTCCTTTCATTCTGTCAAACCAGATTAAAGGGGACTAGTATGAGAGATGCCTACATTTACAATCGATCAGATAATGGTTCAGCTGTTAGAGAGTATAATTTCTCCATTATGGAAAAATTTTGCTTACACTTTTTTTTTCCTTGAGAACACTAAGAAGATAGGTTTTTTTCCCCTTCTCCATTTTTTCCAAATTTCCTACTAACATCTCAAATCTTGGAGATATGCTCAAATATTTTTGCTAATTTTGGGACAGTAAAGATGGGACAAGAAACATTAAGACAAGAATGCCTTTATCTAGTTCAAGCCTCTCTGAAATGTTTTGACTGGTTAACTTTTAACCTTCTGTATTTTACACAATGCAGTAACAGCAGAACAATGTCACTGAAATTTTCCACAGAACTTCTGTAATATCTGAAAGGTCTGTGGAAGACTGATTTTAGGCATCTGTGTCAATCTGTAAAGGTCTCCACATTTAAGGGACTGGGATAGATTTCTTCCCTTATCTTCCAAGTTATTTTTTAACTACATTAGATGATTTGAATAGTGTGATGTCTGAAGGTAGGTTTCCCCAAATAATTCCATGCTTCCTTTTTTTTCTGTTTTTAATCTCAGAAGGAGGGGATGGCAGAAATGCCATGACTGTAATGCAGCCAGCATTTAGCTGACCTGCCTCAATATACAGTTGGAGGACTAGTCAGCCTTTTGATGTGATCTTGTCCCTCATCAGTGATAAGAACTGGTTTTGTTTTTCCTCTGTGGAAAGAGGGCTTTTCATTTAAATCCACTGTGCTGGCATTCTATCCTTTATGTAATCTGGTGGGCCATACAAAAAAGAAATGCATCAATGCCCAGTGACATGTTGGCTTTCCAGAGATTTCCATGCAACTTCATTTTGCTACTTCCTCACAGTATTCATACACAGAGTTTTGCACCTGATCTGACAGTTACGAAGATTTAGTTACAAATTCCTACTCTGACATTTTCCTACTTAAGTATGCACTTCACAAATGACTACAAAGCCACCATGTTTGACTCTAACTCTTTGGGGATGATGCCAAAAATCACAAAATCAATTAGAAATGATTCTTCAAACTTTACCTTTTATCTTGTGCTCACTTTGAATTCTCTTCTCCCTGCTGCATCTGAAGCTCACAACCACCTCCCTGCTGTGATAGGATTTTAGCCTAGTCACATGTGTGTGACCTTGTAACAAAAAAGGTAACAAAAAGCTTTTTTTTACTTTATTAGTAATGGTATTAACCCTTTTCACCACATCAATAGACTTTCCTTAACACTTCTGAAACTGCTGATATTTAACAAGAACTAAGAAGTTGGACTTCAAGCCCTATGTGTTTACCCAAGTTTTTATTGCAAATTCCTTGCCAAGGTACAGCTTTATAAACCCATCATGTAAGGTAAATTAGTATTGACCCACTGAGTATATATAATGCTTGCTTCAGCGTCCTGTTCAGTTCTATTCTCTCCAAAATCTCTAATGCCCTCCATTTTTTTTCCATTTAGATAGGTGATTAAATCAGATTGTATGCCAGTTTATCCAGGGAGCGCAAGCACTGCAAAACTGTAGCTTAATCACTTTCTTCTTCAAAAGTATTCATAGGACTGTCTTAGTCTAACTACTTGGTTTACCCCATTTAACTCCATAAATCCTTAAAAACTTTTCTGACAGTATGTTTCTCTAACTTTGATAATTAGTGAAATATACACATTAATAGTGTTTAAACCTCTGCATTAGGAAAAGGATTGAATTTACAGAGCAAATATCAGATGACCACAACCACATATCTCTTTTGTGGTGATCACAGAATAAACCAACAATATACAGCAAGACTCCAGGGAATGGCTCCTGGAAGGGGATGACAGCAGTGTCAAGAAAATCTCTTGTTTTCCTTCTGACATGTCTGAGAACATTAACTTCTGATATAGTTTTTCATTTCTCTATGTCCATCATACCAATATTTGATTGAGCATTTTATAAGCTTTATCTGAGCTATGTATGATATCTCATACACCCTCTTGATGGATTATAGGTATATTTTCCTAGCTGAATGCTCCTGTGCAAGAAAAAACTTCTAGGAAGTATACCTCCATATTTTCCCTTAATATTTTGGGTTTAGATTCATAACTTGGTAAGGCTCTTCTAGTTCTGAAACAAAATGCAGGAATTATTTCTACGCAGATGTTAAGTTCACCCAGTCCTTGTCTCGTGTCTCATGTTATGTTTGAATATGCCTCAGTTATTCTTTAGTTTCCTTTTTCCTGTTTGTAATGTTATTCCTGTTGCATTATCTGCTTTTCCCTCATATATGGTTGTTTCTCTGAAGTCTAAAGACACACAGTGGGTACTTCTTCCACAAAAAAAAATATTCAGATTACCTAATTAAGACTGATTAAAAAAATAAAACTCACTGCAAAAAGTATCATCTGTTACCTAGGAAAATCACTCTGTCCTTATAATTTACCACACACATTTTTCTCCTTTGACCTCATGTCCCAAAGCTGTGCATTGGAGCTATTCATCTTCTCTCAGTGAAAGAGACACAAGAAAGTTTTAGTCAAGGAGATTTAAACACAACCATAATAGATGAGCCTTGTTGTGAAGTAGTTCTGTGTTATTTTGCCATGGTCTGACATTATGCAGCATTTGCCATCTTTACAGAATAAGAGGATTCCTGGCTTGAAAGCATAAATTCCTACAGCTGAAGATAAGAGCTTAGCAATCCAGCTGTAATAATTGTGTGAATGCTACAGGTATTTTGGATCAAATACACAGAGGACAATTAATACTGGAATTGCACTGGAATTGCACTAGAATTGCAAATATGGGATTCCTGTTTAAAAAAAAAAAAAGGAAAAATACATCTGTAATTTTTTTTTACTGATAGTACTAGCTGTTTGACACATCACAACCACATTTGATTTTTCAGTTTATTTTGTGTTGGTATTGCAATGTTGGTGTGTCAGAATCTGCAAATTCTCAGAAAATGAATGTTTTTGCATTAGAAACAAGGCTATACATAGTAATTGAGCACAATAAATATTTGTAATCACAGAAAAGAATGCTTATCCTTATAGTAGTTATTGTATTAGTACTCAAGGATATTAGTGGTGAGGATAAAAGCACAGGTAGGTGCTTAGTTGTAGGTACCTACAACTTTATAATGTGTGCCTGTGATGAATTTGCTGGTTCTGGAAGGAAAGTACTCTGTAGCAGTATGAAAATCTGGGCACCTCAGAAGGCCTAGAGGTATTTGCATTATGCCATGAACTATTTTTTATATGTTCATTAAAATATATGAAAATAACAATTTCTGAGTTGGTAATATTTTTTTTTGTTGTGATAGCCCATGGTTCTGACAGTCCAATTCAGTATAATATCTTAGTATGGCTTTTCTTTGCCATCTAAAATATTAATACTAGATTGACTAAATATCTCTTCTAAAGTCTGTAGAGCCCAGAGGTTATTAAGAAATCCTGGTTTTGTCTTCAGGGGTTTCAGTCGCCTTTCCATACCTGCAGATAGCTTTTGTGCACACAGCTTTTGAAGGATGGATCTTTTTCAAAGCTGAGGGGGAGGAATGCTAATAAATCACATCTTTATGAAATATTCATTAATTCAGTGAGTTCTTTACAAGGCTGCTGCCAAGGCAGCGCAGGGTGACGAATTACATTTTACACACAGAGGAAATGGTTGACAAGATACATTGTCTATATAGAGGGTTTCCTGAATGGTCACATACAAAGCTAACCAACAAAAGTTGTTTACACTATTAAGCAAGCAAAACAAAAATGCAGCTGTGTATATCCTTGCCAAGTTCCCCTACCTCCTCTTTTGTGTTTTCCCTCCTGGCTTAGTTCTACTTTGTAAAATATTTGGTTCTTTTGAGGTGCTTTACTTAGAATGCCAGTGGAATGAAGTCAGATGGCAAGAAAAAAAGTGAGCCAGCCTTGTGGCCTTTGTTACATTTTATAAGAGGATGAAGACTTGCTTTAAGGTCTCTCTTCATATGTCAGCAGTCATCAGAACCACACTGCACAAAAACAAACTGAATGTTCCTCACTAGAAAGTGAAATGGATTCTCTTTCTTGATTGCCTCTTTCATGTTTTTTGGACTCTGAAAGCAACCCCTGGGTAGCAAGGACACTGGAATCAGTATGACTGTGCTCCATCTTGCCCACAGTTTTGCCCTAACACAGCACCATGATAGAGAGGATGATGTTCTTGTGAAAGCACTCAAAGGGCACATCTTTCATTACAAGGTACATAGCTTTTGACTGGCTCTGTAAAAGAGGAATGACACAGATTTATAAAGACTCAATGGCTACTCAGAAAGTAGCCATTAAAATGTAATGGAACTCTTTCTCTTTAGTGTAGTGTACAAAGTGTTGAAGAACTAGATTTCATCCCAGACATGAAAGAAGACAAGATACAAGGACTGTGAATTAATGAGATGACATCTTTATTAAATTATCTAGAAACTATGCAGATCATCTTAATGATTTCCACTTTCTGGAGAGTAAACTCCACCATGTTAAAAATCTACACTCTCTGGACTTTTCCCAGGGATTTTGTCCTACTTTCTCTGTATATGAAAGTAAAGGGAGATGTTGAAAAAGAAATATCCCTCAACTCACAGTGCCTTTTTATTTTATTAATACAATTGCTATTTTTTTAGGGTTTTTGGGAGGTTTATGTGTTTGTCTTATACTTTCAAAATACATATGTAATTTGAGAACAATATGGATGTCCTACCTTGAAAATAAAATAAGACCCTCTTAATTTTCATATCAGCTCCCTTTCCTATAATGATAGAATGGTTTAGGTGGAAAAGAATCTTAAAAACTGTCTAGTTCCAACCCACACCATGCTCCGGGATGCCATTCACTTGAGCAGGTTGCTTGAGGTCCCATCCAGCCTGGCCTTGACCACTTCTGGTAACGGGGCATCCCCATATTTGGGCAACCTGTTCCAGTGCCTCATCACTCTGAATAAAGAATTTGTTCCTTATATCTAATATAAATCTCTCCTCTTTTCTTCTAAAACTGTTCTGCTTTGTCCTGTCACTATCAGGCTGTACAAAAAGTTGCTCTCCTCTTTCTCCAGAGCACCCTTTAGGTAATGGAAGGCTGCAAGGAGGTCTTCCCAGAGCCTTTTCTTCTCCAGGCTAAACAACCCCAATTCTCTCAGCCTACCTTCACAGGAGAAGCTCTCCAGCCCTTGGACCATCTTCATGGCCCTCCAAAGGACTTGCTCCAACAGGTCCATGTCCTTCTAAGGCTGAGGCTCCCAGACCTGTATGTAGTATTCCAGATAGAGTCTCCGGAGATCAGAGCAGAGGTGCAGAAACACCTCCAGCCTGCTGACCATGCTGCTTTTTATGCAGCCCAGGATACAATTGGCTTCTGGGCTGCAAGTACTCACTGTTGGCTCATGCTCAGCTTTTCGTTCACTAGAACCCAAAAGTCCTTCTCCACAGGACTGCTCTCTTTGAGTTCTTCTCTCAGTCTCTACTCATGTCTAGGATTGCCCTGACTCAGCTGCAGAACCCTGTATTCAGACTAGTTGAACTTCACGAGGTTCTCAAGGGCCCACTTCTCAAGCTTGTCCAGGTTCCCCTGGATGGCATCTCTTCCCTCTGTTGTGTCAGCTGCAATGCTCAGCTTCATGTTGTCTGCAACTTGCTGAAGATGCACTCATTTTCTGTGTCACAGACAAAGACAGTTCCATAAATAACGTTTGTGCTTGATTTCAAAATCTTTAAAAGAAACTCAGCGCTAAGTCTTCTGTATTAGAGAGGGGGGAATAGTTGTTATATGAGGTCCTACCAGTATTTTAAAACTGGGAATGTTTTTTTCTTAGCTCTGTCACAAGTAGCCATTGTGCAGTTTTTACATCTGGTGGCTGATGTGAAGATTTTGAATTCTGAATTATGTTTGTGATGACAAACAGTGTATACTTGATTTTTTCCTCAATAGATCTTGATTTACACACTAAAGATCAAATGAGAATCTAACCAAAGCCTTAAGGAACGCCTTGAATGGGTTTTAAGACTGCAAAACATTTTTAAGTGCTTACCTGAGGGTAAATTCAGCTGATCATTAAACATCTTGTTTGCAAACACTTTCTGTGAAATATCTTCTGTTTTCAAAACTGACATGTACACAATTTAGAAAAAATTGAGAAAAAAATCATTTTTATGAGCAAATTAAGCACAACAATTTGTTTAAGGAACAAGAGAGTAAGGTATCAATTTTTATTGCTTGTTTTTCATATCCATATGATTTTCTGTTAACCTAGGTAAAACTCATTCATTTCAGAAAAAAAAAAAAAAGGGTACCCTAAACATTTTGGTTCAAGTTCTCTTGAACTTCACAATGTTGACATGCATGAGAATTAACTGGGAGAATTGAAGGGCACACCATCTATAGTAAAAGGACAAACACATTCCTTTATAAAAAGCAGCATCATGAGCAATGGATGTCGACAATGTTATTGAAATGCATGATAATTAACAATAAGAAGTTGAAGAAGTAAGTCTAATGGGAAATGTTCTACAATTTGTTTCAGTTTCTAAGGTCAATTTTTAACAAATTCAAATAAACTTACATTTGAATCCTTTCAGATCACGAGGGAACATACATCATTGAAATATCACTGAAGCATGTCATCTGGCTTTTCCTGTGCTCCTAATCCCCCGTCCTTGAAATGTCCCCTGTATTGAGGTTATGAATAGAGAGGTTCAGGAACAAATTTGAATATCCATATGCCTTCAAGAATTTGTGGGAGATCTCTTCTCCCTTGACACCCTCTAGGCTGGACAAGCAGCCAGGAAATGTGTCCCTGAACCTTTACCACTCCCTGCTAGTGAAGATAGCTCCTCACTGGAAAAATTAAGTCCTCATGCCCTTTATCAAGTTGGCTGCAGAATTCTCAAATGAAATAGGAAGTTGAATAATAATTTATTCTTTCATGGATTTTGCATGTTTAAAGCAGAAATGAAATAAACTATTTGAGTAAATTAGATTTCTCTCCAAATTTAATTTCTTTCTGTGTTTTTTTTTTTTTTTTTAGTCCTATCATAAATTGTACAAGGTAATTGAGAACTTTTAATTAGGGCTTATGATATTAGTATTGAAATATGCATATTTATTACTGACACTAAAATACTTGTCCCCTTGTTGTACTTTGTGAAATGGCTACTGAAAATCTACAGTACTGCTATTCACCTATATTTTTGATGTTTTTAATTTCTACAAATTCAAAGTTTGAGGGTTTTTGACTTAGCTCAATCGGGAGAAGCTGTAACCTTACAGGAGACAGATTTACATAGACTTTTTCCAGATGATAGTAGTATCATAATCAGCTAAAGACATGAGGTTGCATTTCAAAAATTATCAAAACTATGATGAAAGCTTCCCTTTTCTCTTTGAGCTCTCACAATAAGAAATTTAAATTGGCCATGTCAGTTTCCAGATAAGATTAAGAAATCCATCTCCTAAAATTTAACACAAATTCTCCAAACGTACCAACTCCTGCAAAGACATTGATGTTTGAAAGTCTGAAACGTGGTCTAGGGCAGGCTCATGGAGTTACCTAAGAGCAGCATCCTTAAGGCCACAGCTCAAGAGGAATTTACCAAAATGATCAGACTTGGTAACGATGGAAAACAGTGCATATCTCATTTTCAATGTTTTTTTATGTAATGAATTTCTTAAAAAATCCCCAAGATCTAAGAGTTCACACATTTACTGCATGTTCACCTGCAGCAAAACCTTGTGCCATACATGTGCTTTCCTTCTACTTTAGAGGAGGAGAGAAGGCCTAAGAATGCTTACAGGTGAAAGACTTTGTATCTCTATTAATGACATGAGTTTTGAATTAAAATATGTATGTTGATTTCTTTTTTCATTTTTTCACTTTGGATAAGTAATTTGGGAATACAAGCTAGAAAAAATTACATCATATATAAAAGAGTCACTAAACATTGTTATAAAATTCAGGAAGAAAGCAGGACTTGAGGAAGAGAAAAGACATTTAGAAAAAAAATATGTGTTCAAGGTAACAAATGGCAAATTGTGGTGATAGCCTTTATAGGTTCTGAAGTTTAATTCTTTACAGAGTGTCTTAAAGAGTCTAGTAGTGGTGATTTATGTCACATCTCAGAAATTGTGTTGCTGGATTTCTGTTTGGATTTACTCTGTGGGATCACCTTAAGAGCTGAATAGACACTAGTTATTAAATCCTTCCACTGTATTTTTCCCAAGGAGCTATTTCTATACACATGTGAGTAAGTGCACAATAATCCAACCAACAGTAACTTTCTTGTTGCCTTTCTGAGCCATCCTCCTTAGTGTTATGAGCACACATCAAGTATGTTAATGTTAATACTTATTTAATGAGAAAAATCTCCAAGAACTCAAACATGGGAGAAGCAGTGCAATAAGTAGGGGACTAGAATCAGTTAGTATTTTTCCTTATATGAGCAAAATATTCTAAAATTGTCCCTATTTTGTGCTTCTTCTCCCAAAAGAAGCAGCACATAATATAGTGTGCAGTAAGTAAAAAGACTAAGTTATATAAATCAATATCACTTTTCTTATTTCAGCTCTTGAGTAACCTTGAAAGAAATACTTGAAAGAAAAAATTTTGAATGAAATGACCTTTAAAAATTACCTTGCAAGACAGACTCCTTTTTTTTTTCCATGTCAAAACTGTGCTATTAAGCTGATTCACCTGTAAGCATGTTGACTTGATTCAACTTCAGCAGTGCAAGAGCAATGCAAATACTAGAATTTGGAGATGGCTTTCTGACTAACCCGAGTAAATTTTTCATTGGAATGACTGTCTTCCTTGGAGAAAGTGAGTAATAGTCTCTCCTCTGCTGTTTGTCTTTTTCTATGAATGTTGAGTTATCTGCAAAGATAAAGGATGAGTATGTATTACCAAGATGTGCTTAGTCACTGTTGGAAGAGCTAGATTGAAAGTCTATCTGCTATGCCATGCTGATTCCTACTTCGTTGCTCAAAGGTTTCTCTCTTTTTTTCTTTTTTGTTCCAACTCTTCTTTTGAAAAGAACTCTAGAAGTCCTATGTCTAGAATTTGATATCTATTTTGGTAATTGCACACAGATTTATAGGAAAGTATTACTAACAAAAAGGATGCTATATGAATGATATTGAGTATTAGGAGATGATACTGCTGTGGAGTTGGAAGTTCAAGAAAACAAATCATAGGAATGCTTTAGGGGTCAGCATTTAAATTTTTTGTTATTCTGTTTTAAATCTTCATCAGTAATTTATAATCCAGAGACTATAATCTCTGCTAGAGAATTGGGTATTCCTGGAATACTGGCTCAGAGAAAAAACATCTAACCCATCTGTTAGGCATTTCTGGCACAACTTGAAAAGAGCATCTAGAAGAGGCTGTTTGCAGTTCTGGGTCAAAGAACAGGTGGGGAGATATCTCCTGTGTTGCTACCAGTGTAGACCCTACCCTAATTTTTAGGGAATGCATGAGAAAAAATTATCCTTTTCTCTTGATCTTGTTTGCTCAAGAGTTTAGGAAGAGATGCTCAGTCTCCCTAATGCTTTTTAATTCAACCAGTTTGGAAAAGTAAATCAATAACTTAACTTATATTCAAAAGCCAAGATTTCCCTGGGTATTGGCTCACATCCATTGCAAACATTTGGCTTCTGTGATGGTGTAGGAAATTTCAACATAAAAAAAAAGTAAATGCATTACCTTCGTCTCTGATTCTCACACCCTACCACTAAAGTGTCCCTTTAGTACTATATCATCCCAGTCACAGTCCATCCTTTTCACATAATCCATCACCTCAGAATCAGTCTCTAGGATCATCCATCAATCCCTGTTGTAGTCCCTTCACTACTAAACTCTGCTTTTTATCAAAACAATCCAAGTAACAAAATATCCAAATATCACAAATAATGTAATACTGAAAACTCTTAATTTCAGGATTTGGGAAAAAAAATTATTTCATCATTCAGTTAATCAATGCTGCTTGATTGCTGTTATCTTCCAGTTTAATCACACAGGAAGAAAAACAGCATCATATTCTGCAATGACCTCTACACTACTAATTCTTTTAAGTGATATGTGCAAATTGGCAAGACTCATTTTCTCCCATGTAATATTCACCTTGACAGAAACGGATGATAGAAAATCACCTAAAACTTATATGACACGTCTGTTAGGAAGGGTTCAGTTTAATGCTCCAGTGTTGTCCCTCTGTGATGACAATATGTCCCTCTAAGCCAAAAAACTATTCAGTAACTGACTGATTCCAAAGCTTTTGCTTTCACACTTTCTGTACATGACCCTCCCCATCACTTTGTTGAATGTACATGAGACAAAAACCTTGTATGAATGGCATTTTCAAGTTTGTGTCCTGAGGGCTATAGGCATTGTGCTGCAGCAATGGAAAAATGAGTAATTCAGTTTGGAGATGGAACCACTAATACACAGTTTGGGATCATGTAACAGTACAATTTTTAAAAGGGCTTGTTGGGTTTATGTGAATTTTGGTGTAATTTAGTGAACATATAATTATAAAGGCTAATTTTGGTTCACCTAAAATCCAAGTGACAAAAAACAGCTTATGGAAAAACCATATGGGATCCATGTGAAAATGTCTTTTGAAGAGGATTCTTTTATGTCTTAGTCATATGAAATTAGATGATTAGGTGATTTTCTGTTGTTGTGTGAGTTTGTCCTTGAAACCTTGATGCACAGGATAGCTGTTGAAAAATAGAGACAGAAAAGAGAAAATGTGTTTCTGATTATCAGTGTCTGGAAGAATCAAACATTTGATGTTTTCAGTCAAGAGACAAAATAAGTTATTTATAACTTTTTATGGAATTTTACAGCATCTATTAATTTTTATTATAATTTATAGGGGGTTTTTTCTATTCTATTCTAATGAACCAGATGTAAAATATTAAAAAGCAAGTAGGTATCAGCCACCAGGGATATTTTAGTCAATTAAACAAATGTATGCATGTACTTTTGGATGAGTGTTTCTATATGTGTGTTCAAAGGGGAGAGCAGAAATAGATATCTGCTGTTCCTTTGTTGCATTCATCTGTCCAACTGTATAAGCAATTCTCTGAGGAGGCTCTTATATTAAAATTTTACTTCTGATTTTGTAATGTTGCTGCAATTGCAGAGTTAAAGATCTAGCAGAAATCTACTAATGTTTAATCTTAACAGCCAATGTTATTTACATTTTAACACGCCTGTGTGTTCAATTAATACCTTATTTTAGTCTCTGAGTGTGATGGCTAATGATGAGTCTTTGAACATTACCGTAGCACTGCTGTCCTACACCACTACCATTAGCCTGCAATGCAGCAAATTGTTGACAGCTATAACAAAGCATCACATCTGCCTTGAGAGCCCACGATACTGAAATGCTCTCTGTTGCTGCACAGATGAGCAAATATTATTTCTGTTTAATACTATCACTCAAAACAATCAGATCAGTTGGTCACCCAGAATTGTTTTTTCCTCAGTTTGCTTTCTTAAGCAATACCTATGAAGTTTCCTTACCTGAAAAATATTTGAAGATCTTTGTAGTTAATTTGGGCTATGATCCATGAATGTGTGAAAAATTAGGTGATTTCTTTGCCATGCAAGTGATCTTTTGTTGCAGGGTAGCAAATGCTATTTACATGACATGTTGCTGCATTTTAACTTCATTTCCAGTCAGCAACTGTACGAATGAAATGCAGTAGTTGCTGTAGATCTACTGATTTTCATCTCTAAATTAACGTAATCTGCTCTGCTGCAGTCATTCTGTGAATACAAGGCTGTAAATTTAACTGACTGCTTTTTCACAGAAGGCTGGTTTGTTTGAGTCTTCCCTGTTTATAGGTACATAAATTGAATCTTAGTCTTGTGTGCAAGCATCGCTGCTTTAGAAGTTATAACCAGTGCAGACTGGAATACTGATTCACTCCCACACAGCTAGTGTTCATGTCAGACAGCTACATATGTACTGTGGCTTGCAAAATTGTTCAAATATCACAGTAATACCCTCAAAAATAGGACCCTCCAGGAAAGGCAGTTTTCCATAGCAATCAATTACAGAAGCTGCTAAAAACTAGAAACTAGTGTATAAACACTGCTAGTGTGAAGTGATGGAGCAACATAATTTCATTTACTTTATTTTTGCATTGGTCTGGGCTGTATTTTTATTACCCCACTGTTGTAATGGTGACCTCACCTTTGTTTTCATTAATAAATCTTATTATTAATTTTGTAAAAAAAAAGGCTAATACTTTTAAAGTATTTAAAAGTAAAGATTCATGCTGCAGTCCTTTCTCTGGAACACCAGAATTAATCAAGAGCAGAACAGGAAGATTTGGTTTTGATGAAAAAAATGCAAATATGAAAACACCTCAAGCTGCAGTTTCTTTGTCAGCTAGCTTTGTGCCTCAAGCAGCAGTCCTAACCTCCTTCTCTACCTGACAGCTTATTCTCACCCAGCTTTGCTTCCTCCCTTGGGCTAGCAGAAATGTTTGTGCTGCTGCTCATTGAACTAGATCAGGGAACCAATCAGAGCTAAAACTGCCTTTTTTTTTCCTCAATTAATTTTAACTTAGATCAGATTCTCAATTTGGTTCACCACAGGATTGAATGAGCAGGAAAAGGCTGCTGGCCTATGAGAAAGGAAGGGTGAGATGCCTATTCAGGTAACATAAATACTATCTTGAACTGTGGCTCCAAATCTCTTTTGTCTCATTCTTGCTGTTCACATGTACAGGAATTTGAAATCTTCTGTTTCAGCTTAAATTCTTGATCTAACTTTTGATTAGCCAGGGTTTTATTTCCCCAGAATAACTAGTGAACCTCCCCAGCTGTCCCTGACATCTATAATCAAAAGGTATATCTGTAAAATAAACTGTATTATTCACAGTACACATACAGTATAGCATATACACAAGGAAAAGGTGTTCAGTCTCATGTTGTCAGCAAGTACTTTATAAAAATAAAGTACAGAAACTTCAAATCTCAAATCTCAGACACTTAAGGAATTTAATTTAATTTTTTTTCTTCAGCTCTTATTAGCTTTGTTAAAGAACCTGTCAGCTCTGATGGAAGTTGCCTTCTAGGTCTATGGCTGAAAATATTCTTCGCATTAAAATTTAGAGTTACAGCTGGGATTTGAACCCTTGTAAGAAATCACTAACACTGTCTTACAGAAAAAACTAGGAAGCATTTAAAGGTGAGATATCAGAATTCTTTCAGGGTGTTAAGCAATTTGAAATAATTTCAGATAATATATATTGTTTATGTGGTAAAGTTTTGGTAGCAAGGGAGCTTTAGAGGTAGCCTCTGCGAGAAGAGACAAACTCTCCCTGTTTTGGGCACAGGCACTTTCAGCTGGCTCCAAGATGGATCCAGTGCTGGCTAAAGTCCCCCATCATTCTGCAACAGAGTATTTAGGGCAGGGTAAAAAGTGCTGTGCAGCAGCAAGAGAGAGAAGTTGCAGAGGGGGGCATATGTGGCCCGAAGTTTAGAGTCCGACTAGCTGAGGGCGAAAGGCC